CGCCGGCGTCTGCTTCAATGTCATCTACTTTGTGCGCGACCCCTACGTTGGCCCCTATGCCATCCCAACGGACGACCCCAGAAGCATCGTCTTTTACCAGAATCCAGGGTCCGCTTTTATTGAACAATAGCTTTTTTTTTATCTTTTTTCCCTATTTTTGCTTTCCCCCCCCCCTCTGCAATCCACATTGTATTCTCATAAATTTATTCGTTCATCTGTCAAATGGTTAATCGCATCCCGTCACGCTGCAGGTTTGTTTGCTGTGGATTGTAAATCCACAGGCAACACCTAAAAGTCTTTGGATGAACTTTTAAACTTTCTCTCGGCAAACCCACCTAATTGATTTGTGTTTTTAATGGACAGCATGCGACGAGCAGCTACCCAAATCTTGAGCTGTGCGCGTTTGATGCGCAAAAGCTTAAACAGTGTTGGGCAATGAGAAAAAAAAAAAGTCAAAAAATGCCTCCATTTGAGATTGCTGACGTTCAACTTTTCGAATCTCGGTCAAAACTTGGACGCGCAGTGCCTTTTTCTTTTTTTTTTTACTCGTATTTCAAATTTGGGACGAACAAGGAAAGTTTTCCCAGAGTAAAGCGGTAAAAGGTCGATTTAGCGGTCATCGTCTTTACAATGCGTCAACAATACATGGTAAAATCCCGAAGCGCGTATCATGCCGTGAAATGACAAGCCAAAACGCGCGTGGAACGCAATTTGAAAGCTGTCAGGGATCATCTGGACGCGCAACGCGCAAATCAAATGTAGTCGCGTCCAGCTCTCAAACCAGACATTGAAAAAATGGGTCGGCATCATTGCTCCAAAACTTGCACACAAGAACAGTCGAATAACAAAACCAACAAAATGACAATAAAAAAGGGAGGTCCATCAGGTGGGTCACGAGAAAAAAGGATTTTGGGTCAAATTTTGAACACGAATAGCTCGCCAAGAAATGCGTAAAGAGGTCACGTCGACGCGTCCATCAACAAGGGCTGATCTACGCACGTAAATATGATGAGCATTAGAAGCTCGTAGCATGATTTTTGACGCAGTTTTTCACGCGTCGAAAATTGCATATTATTTTGAAGCCATGTCAAACATGCCAAAAAATCACTTTTTGCAATGATCACGGAGGTCCACATACGCATCAAGCCATGCTCTTTCTGATGATACAAGTTTCAATGCGCTGCGTCCAATACTCGTTGAATTTACCTTGAAATGAAAATTGGCAGCTTTTCGCGTCTTGCGTGGAAACCAGTCAATGGACCTCCGGTTTTTATAGCATTATTGCCAGTGAATGAGAGTAGATCACCCTATGTTTGAATGGCGTGGAGATCGGAGGACCTAAAATGAAGCGTTTTCAAATCCTCGACTGGACCCCCAGGAAAATCCGTGATTTTTGATCGTCGTCATTGCGCGGCATCCAGTGATCGCAGCGCCTCAAAAGTAGGCTCATTCGAAGGAGAAGGCGTTGAATTCTTGGATCAAAGAGTGACCCCTCTTGCGGGTCGTGAATTTATCGAGAAATGAGCAAAATACAGCCAAAAGTGTGTTTTTGTGATGTTCACGAGAAACGCCCAATGAATCACCTGTTCTCAACGCATAGCATCAGTCCAACAGGTGCATAAAACATACGCAAGCAGGTTTGACGGGCATCAGGCCAGGTATTATTGGGCAAAGGTGGCATCAACAGACTGGAACGCACCAATTCAATATTTCGTGTTTTTACAGCGAGCCGATCCTTGTCAAATCTGGACCAGTTGTCCTCAATGGACATTGAAAGCATGGCGCAAAAGTTTGAAATCTTAATGCCTTCCATTGGGAAAAAAAAACGAACAACAAAAACCGAATTCAAAGAGTTGTATGTGGTTAATCAATGCAATTGGTACACAGAAAACGAAAAAAAAGAGATAATACAAAAACATGCGCCATTTTATGTGATATTCTATGCGATGGATGAGTGTGTTTTTTATGAAAGGGGGGAGGACGCGTATATAAATATGCCGTCTGAATCATCGGCATGCTGGAGCTGGAGCTCTGGGATCTCACTCAGGTTGAAGACGAGGCTGACGATGCGCGCGCCGCGGCGGTAGAGGGCGACCAGGTCGTCGGCGAAGCGGTCTGTGTGGTCGGGCAGGAGAAACACGACAATGACCGTGTAGAGGAGATCGCGCGCGCATGTGGCAGTTTTCAGGGTTTCCAGGAGGTCGCCCTGCTCAAATTCCACGCCGCACGTGCGGTGGTCGCATCCCAGCACCTCGTCGGCGAGCCGCCGTGAGTCCTCCACGAGCAATTCGTCCGTTTCGACGCCGTAAGCGCGTTTGCATCCAAATTCGGCCACAGCGGCCGTCACAAACCGACCGTCGCCCGATCCGAGATCGATCAGCGTGTCAGTGTCGCTCACGTGCGCCAGCTGCAGCGCTTTGACCACGCGCGCCGCCGACGTGGGGCAAAAGGGTGCCAAAGTCGCGTCCACGCTGTCAATATAAGCGGGAAACATTTCGTCTTGCACGGCATCGTGCGCTCGATCATCGGCCGCTTGAAACACCTGGAGAAACGTTGACCTCCTGGCAAAAAAGGTCGATCAGTACACCTTTTCTTGACATAATTTGCTTTAAAAAGTATTGCACCGCGCCGAGAAAAGCGCGTCACAGCTGTTACTTACCTTGGTGGTGATTTACCCATAGTTTGTGAGAGGAGGAAAAGGCCAAAAGAAAAGGGTTACCGATGATCATGTGGTCATTTTATGCCCGATTTGGGTCAATGCAGAAAGAGCGCAGACCGAAATGGCCCAATTTTAGCACAATTTCGCTGCCTGGGTTGACCTTTGCGCGCGACGCATTCCTGGTAATTGCGCGCTGCACAATTCCATCACCATCAGAGGCTATAAAATCACGCTAAATCTTACAAAAAAAAAAGGAACAAACGCGGCAATTGCTCGTCCACACAGCCAATTGTTGGCCCTTTTACGGCGCTCTGGTCAACGCGAGACGCATCAATTGCCACATTCCAATCCACTTGCCAGCTCCCTGTCTACAATGATTCAAATGAAATGCACGAGGAATCGTGAACTCCACATTTCTTCTTTGTGAATCCCGGGATTTTCGACCATGGCGCATGATGCGGATTCTGTGGCTGTGGATCGTGGCACATTAACCTAGTTTCGAAGCATAAATAGGCAAAAGGGGTGAATTTTCTGGTCAAAAACACTTTTCTGCTTTTTTTTCTTATTAAATTGTCAATTATTTCCCCATGCGCCCTGTTGAATTCATCCTGATGCTCGTGTCTGCCTGGTCATGCTGGTCAGCACCGTTTCCACAAGCCAATGTAGCCAACTTCATAACAATGTTAAGCAAGTCAGCTACAATGCCAACATTTACCGGTACGTGATCTATGGCATCTGCCGCAATGATTGCCGCGCCTTTGCTGGAGCCTATCATACCCAGTGTGTCAAGTGGGCCAAGCAATACCGCTCCATTGGCTGCAATTGGAGCGAATGTTAAATGCAAAACCTTTTAAATTCCTCAATTTTTTCACGTATCAATAAAAACAGCTTTTATCAGTGCATCATCGCTCAATTAAAATCAATATGTGTCATCACCGCCTTAGGAAAAAAAAAAAAAAAGGAGGAACGTGTGCGAGACCGATTGCACGCGTGAGAGCACAAAAAGTGTAAAAAAAAAAAAAAAAAAATTATGACCTCAAGGTGATACAATTTGGGATTGTCAAGACTGCCCTGAATCCGCTGAAAAACTGGAGCCTCAAGACTGCGCTGGGAAATAGCTGTTGCAGCATACGCCTTTAGATACAATAAATTCATAGGCAATCTTTTAAAACAATGATGTGCAAACGACAAAAAATAAAGTGAGCCTGATTTTTTTATTCATATAAAATATAATATACGTATGATGTGGCCTTCCCTGCATACGCATCATTGAAGTCTCCGGCTCACTACCGATTCATTCTTTGTCTCATAAAAAATGGCACTGTAAGATGGCCAAAAGTAATCATCAAATCAGCAAAATATCAAAAATGTCAAAATACGGTAGGGCCCTGCAGGCTGCAGCCGTGCAAATTGGGTTTCAGTGGAGCAATTGAGCGCGTGTCGGCACTAGCAGGCGTGTCGAGCGCACGACCACTCCACCAGAGCTACGTAGCTGGTATTTTTGCACTTGTGATGCGTGTACATACAATTTTGACCTGCAATGTACAGTATCATAATCTTAATTGCATTTAAAATTCTCAAGAAATCAAGATTGAATACAATCTCATTTTTTGATCATCGTTGATCTTGTCAATTTGGCAATACTGTAATTGGCATTGCGGTGTGCTCTTTTCGTTTCTTCATTGCACATTGCCTCTTTTTTGCGTTCTTTTGTGTTTTGTCACGAATTTCTTGCGATGATGATCTACCGGTACAGTACAATCTACCGTAGCCTACTGTACAAATGTACAAAATATGATGAACCACTCGTGCTCCCCCTTCATTTAAAAAAGGTGCAAAATAAAGAAGGTGTCCTGATCTTATTATGACTGCATGAAATCACGCAATTTCAATCTCCGCCTAAACCTGGAACGTGCCCACTTGCTGACTAGCATCATTGAACATGCAAAATCACAAAATTTCAACTTTTGGCTCCCGGCGGGCGGATCGCCCGATCGCGCGCGTCATTTTAGATCGCGTTTGCAACGGCGTTTGAATTTGCGTGCCAATAAATGACCTAATCGTTGGAATTGCACTCAATTGCACATTCCAGACGAGCACCATAAATGCGGAGTTTGAAAATACAAAGCTGAGATTGTAAACTGCCACCATTTTGCCGTTTTTGCACTCGTCCGTGCGACCACGACGGTATGCGGATATAAAAAAATCAAACTCCCCTTAAAAATGCTTGATCAGGAAAAAAAGCTGCCCAAATTTCCCAAATTGGGATAAATTTACCGAAAAGAGATCACGATTTCATCGTGCAAAAAAAAATCTGGGCAAAAATTGCAAAAAAAACCAGTGGGAGATGCCCGACTCGAACGGACAACCTTGTGGACTGGAATCACATGCGCTACCAATTGCGCCAACCCCCCGTGAACGAAAAACTGAACAGACTGGTTCATCAAGGGCCTTCTCAAACCAAATTTAAAACCCCGATGCACCTTGTTCATGATCATCCGTTCCCAAAAATGCATCTTCATTGATCTAAAAGTCGATTGGTCGTCATTTCATTGTCAGCTCCATACTTCAAAGGCTTTTCATCACGATTCTTGGCGATTCTTATTTGATTATGAATTATGATGCCAACAAAAAGGCAACAATGAGGTTTGACGTGAGCATTGACGCGTAAAATTTGAATGTCCGACTTTTCAGGGTCCTTTCAAAATAGGAAAGTGTCACGCTGAACCGTGGAGTCGTTTGGAAATCGCAAAACTCTCCTCCCCGCTGTGAACCGTGAGTAGTGGGTGTGTCCGTGTCGCCTTGCTGCTGCAGCGGTTCCGCGATTCCGCGAAGTACTGTGTCTTGTTTTGCTTCGCAATGAGAAATACCAGTACAATTCACCAGCAAATGTCGTGGCCATTTTACTTAGCTCTAAATGTGAAGGTTTCAAGTACTTCAAATCCCTGGATTTTTTTTGAGAAATTTCGATTTTTCATCCATTGACGTCGCTTTGCCGCTCGTTGTGTTGTCTTTTCAGAGAAAGCTAGCATTATTCTTTTGAGAGGCACAAAGTCGATTTGCACAGATATCATACGAATCAAAAAGACCAAGATCAAATGCGTCAATATCGCAAAATAATACGCGATAATTCCACTTTTGACATCTTTTTTTTTATACTGTATTGTGCTCACACCGCCATACGCATGCATGTCATTACCATCTGTGTCGTGGCACAACATTGCTATTTACAATGAACAATATGCACGGATGCAATGCATTTAATAAAAAAATGAAAGTTTATGCGACAAAAAAAAAAAAAAAGGATCAATGTCTCCTCAAGATGCGTCTTGGCCGTTTTGCTGCTTTTGTTGGTTGGCGTAGGTTGTGCGGATGTAGTGTCTGCTCTTTTGATCTGCGTGGCGGATAGGCTCTGGGATGCGGTAGCGCGACGTTGCCATGACGAGGCGGAGGGCCGTTTTGAGCGAGACGCGGTGGCCCTGGCTGACAAAGATAGGGTTTGGCGCGTCGGTCGTTGTGCGCACGGCCATGCCGTACACGGTGCCGGACGCGCCCTCGAGCGCCATCCAATCGCCGGCGGCCTGTAGCTCCTCCTTGGCCCGCTTTTTCACACGCTGCATCTGCAAATCCGGGCCGTCGTCAATCACCAAAAAGTTTTTACCAATGCCAATCGTCGGCGTGTTCACTTGCACACCCAAATGACATGCAATGCCGCAGCACCGCGGATGCAATCTGCCATTGCCTAAAAAAAAAGGAAAAACACAAATTCAGCACGATTTTCACGTCGAAAATGATTGCTCGGCGGCCCGATCGCGCTTCCAATGGGCTTCTTCTTACCGTCGACCAGAATCACTTGAGGGTATATTTCAGGCTTGGTGGCACGCACGTGCTCCAGAAGCTTTTGCAGAGGCTCAACCTCGCGAAAGGCAAGGAATCCGGCAATGTAGGGCAGGTATAAACGCGTCGTCAAGTAATCCGTGTAGACCACCTGTGGAAATAAAAAGCGCGTCAGGAACCACTGGATGGCCCCCTTTCCAGTTACCTTCATGGATGGATATTCCAGGATGACGACACATGCAATGGCATGCTCTTGATCATTCTCAGGGAAGCTCAAATCAACGCCACCAATGTATTTTAGACCATCCAGCGTCGTGGAATCAAACGAGAGGCTGTCCTCTTGACATATCTTGCCACGAACCTGTTCCTGGAGGCTGAAAAGCGGGGAAAAGGGGGCCGTGTGAGCAGTGCTGGTTCTTTTCTGGCTTTTTTTTTTTTTTTTTTTTTTTTTTTTTACAAGCTAGGCGGCTTACTTTTCCCAAATTTGCCTCTGTTGTTGTGTTGGCACCTCGGTGTACTCGGTGAGTTGTGCTATCATGGTCATGGGTGAAGAGAAAAAAAAAAAGGGAGAGAGAAACTGAAGAGGGAAAGAAAAATGAAGTAGAAAAGAAACTGCGACAGGCCACATTTTGGGATCTGATGTGGCGCAAGTGACACGGGGTAATCCACGGTGACACAAAAAGGGACCATCTCGTTCTTTCTTGTGCTTTTGCTTTTCTTTCCTCTACTTTTTTTTTTTTTTTACGTATTCCGGCATTTCGGCTATTTTCCACTCCTTGGCATCGCTGTTTTTCTTGGACTCATCCCCTCCCCCCTTTCTCTGCTTGTTGGTTCCATGTCCTCTTCTGTGAAGAGGCCGCGCTCCGAGTCGCCGGTGACCGCCACGGCACCGGCCGCCAAAAAAGCAGACAGCACGCCACGCCGTCGTATGTTGTCGTCTGCCGCTGTGGTCAAGGCGTCGCCATCCCTGTACCGCTCCTGTAAGACGCGAATTGGCCCACAGCCTGACTTGTTCAAGGCTCGGCACTTGAAACTGACGCGTCTTTTGTGCCTCTTTTTTTTCTAGTTTTTCACAAGGACCCCGTGGACTGGACGCACGACGCGCGTCTTGCCATTGAATTGGAATACCCTGCCAAGGACTGCCGTGAAGCGTGCGTCATGCAGGGCGCGAAAGCACGCGCATTGGCGGCAAGACACGTGGCAATTGACCTCCCCTTTTCTGTTTTTTTTTCTTCATTTCAGATTTGTGTTGGTGTGCCCGAGCCAAGAGAGCCAAGAGTACAGCCCTGTCAATGAGCTGCGAGACACGTTTGACTTGATTTACAGCGAGTTTCTGACGGCCGAGCAAAAAAAGGCGCTTGGCGACACGCAGCATGGCATTATGCGAAAATTGATCAAGCACCGCAACCGCCGCGAGCTGGAAGAGTATGTGGATGCCATTGAACAATGGAACAACCATTTGCGCACGTGGAAAGAGCTATTGCCAGACACAAAATCGGCGCTGCCTCTGTCTACAGGCCGCCGCCATCCGTCCTATGCCCTTGCATCACACATCCTCGACCAAATCTACAGCCGCACGGCCGCATGGCACGTCGACAAACTGAATCAGTACAAGGGTAACCAGAAAAAAAACGGGGGGCTGCAAGATACGCGCAATGGCTCACTATTTTTTTTTATTTTATTTTTTTTCGCTGACAGCGTTTTCGAATTACGTGTACGGAGAGATCAATGCATCATTCATCAACAAGGAGATCATCCAGCGGACGGGATTACGCTCCAAGAGCGTGTTTGTCGATCTTGGCAGCGGCATTGGCAACGTGGTTCTGCAAGTTGCAGCACAGACCGGATGCGAGGCTTTTGGCATCGAGGCCATTGAGACACGAGTCAAATTGGCCAAGCGCATGCTCAAGGAGTACGGTCTGCGCATGAAGTAAGTGCGGGGGGGGCGACGCAAAGATGTAGACGATGGAGATGCCAAGTGATGCGTTTTTATTTTTTTGGGGGTTAGAGCGTGGGGCTTGCCGACAGGCAAGGTGCATTTCCGCCAGGGCGATTTTTTGGATGGGTCGCAAAAGGATCTTGTGGCGATGATGCGTCGTGCCGACGTGGTTGTGGTGAACAATTACGCGTTTGACTCGGCGACGAATCACGGACTGCTGCAGCTTTTTTTGGATCTCAAGGAGGGCGCGCAAATTGTGTCACTAAAATCTTTTGTCAACAAGAATCATACCATCAATGCACGCACGTTCCATCTGCCCGAGTCCATCTTGCAAGTCCAAGAGCTGCCCTATTACTCGGACGCCGTCAGCTGGTCAAACCAAGATGGCGTCTTTTATCTTTCCACTGTCAATCGCACGCGCCTTGCGCGGTATACCTAATAGCACATCTACTCATGTTTGTATCAAAAATTCATGCATTTACTTTGTCGCATCTAAAACAAATTCAAAAAAAAAAAGAAAAAAAAACAATACTTTGTAGCGCCTGGAAGGAGGGGATGGGGAAATCTAGTTTTATGGTACATGGGGGGTTTTGGAGAGAGAGAGAAAAGGGGTGCAATTAAGAGCTTTCTTGCTCGGCGGAGGCGGCGAGATGGCCATTGTCAATGAGGTATTGAATGACTTGCTGGACACCCTCCTCGACGGAAACCTGATGCGTCTTGACATGGACCTCGGGGGCTTCGGGGGCCTCGTAGGGGGCGCTGATGCCGGTGAATTCCTTGATCTCGCCGGCCTTGGCCTTTTTGTACAAGCCCTTGGGATCGCGCTCCTCGACAACCTCCAAAGGCGCGTCGGCAAACACCTCGACAAAGGGCAGACCGGCTTCCTTGTGCAATTGGCGCGCAGAGTCGCGGTCCGCGCGGTACGGGCTGATGAACGCCGTGATCGCCACCGTCGTCGCATCAGCAAACAACTTGGCCACCTGATTTGAAATAAAAAAAATCAACCATCCATCGCATGTCCAGCCCATTTTTCGGCGTCGTCCTCGCAACCAAATGGGTTCCTTTTTTTTTTTTTTTTTTTTTTTTCCCTTACCTCTGAGATGCGGCGGATGTTCTCCGTGCGATCATCGGGGCCAAAGCCCAAATTCTTGTTCAGACCAAAGCGGATATTGTCACCATCCAGGCGATACGCGCTGACACCGCGGTGCAACAGGGTTTGCTCGAGCGCCGTGGCCAGCGTCGACTTGCCCGACGCAGACAGACCAGTGAACCAGATAGTCAAGCCCTAAGAATTCACCAAAAGAAAAAAAAAATCAGCAAACCCTTGCTCCGGTAACCAAAGTTGCACGTTTTTCCCGCTTTTACCTTTTGCTTCAACAAGGACTGGCGCTCCTCGGAGGAGACGGAGCCGGCATGCCAAGTGATATTCGTGGACTGAGTCATGGTTTGTGTATTAAAAATAAAAACGAGGGAGTGCAAGGGAGAGTGCAAGTGACAACAAGGAAAAAGGGAAAAAAGAGACCATGAAAAAAAAGGGACACGCCTTTTTAATCATCGTTCGGAGATGAATCACCCGCACCGATGATTGGCCGATCCACGGATTACGCCATTTCCTTACGAGCTTCCGGCATGATGAGC